CTTTCCCCCTATCTCTCTTTCTCTATCCTTTTTTACTCCCTCCTACGTCGGGCTACCTCGCCCACCCGCGGTCACCCTCTCTCCCCTCTTTGTCTATTTGTCTATCCGCCGCCGCAGATACTCGCGCGTGCAGAAGGCGACTTCCGGGCACCTTCCTCGCCGATGACGACGGTGCGTCGCCGTCGCGCGAGCGCGCGACACACTTTTCCCACCTTTTTTCTCTCACCTTCTACTCTCCTTCTCCTCTCCTCCGTGACTCTCCGTGCGCTCCTCTCCGTCAATTCGCCACCGCCTCTCTCGCTTTCTCACGTACGGCCGCGCGCGCGCGCAACACACGCATGGGCGCACGCGAGTGACTCGCTCCGCGCGCGAATACACGCATACATACGCGCAGGAGTGCGCGTACTTCTACATGCGGTCGTCCGTTTCTCCGTTATTTCTCGCTCTCTCAAATCCGGACGAGCCCGTCGCTCTTACGATCTCGCGCGAGATCCGGGATTGCGGATTTCTCGTAACCGACGCACAACACTAAATCACCAGAGTTCCTTCTTGAATGACGGCGTGAACGGCGCCAAGAGACGACGGCGACGACGATGACGACGACGACGGCGACGGTGGCGGCGATCACGACGACGACGACGACGACGACGACGACGACGACGACGACGACGACACAACGATGACGATGGACGCGCGCACACACATTCACAACGCGGTGACACACGAGAAAGCTGGTGGAACGTACTCCGCGCAGTCGACGACACTCTCGGGACGCGCTCCGAGCGCCAGCCGGTCGCCCGCCGGCGCGACTGCCATCTCGCGGCGAGTTCGTGCACCACCGCATACCACAATGGCGCGAAGTACAAAGCAGGGTTATGCGTTTACGAGTAAAATATAAATTACGCGTAAGCTATGTAAACTATGTAAATTACGCACAAAATGTTATCTAAAATAAAAAATGTAAAATTTCCTCTATGTAAACTGTAATCTAAGGATCATAAAAGATTACATATATTTCATTTATATAATTATATTTATGATTTATAAGAGATGATTTATAAATTTTTTAGTACTAATTAATATATGATATACACAAACACAC